TTACTCAGGATGAGCATTCACTTTGGGGGTTTTTATTGTGTGAAGGATTCATATGATTCAGGCAAAGTTTACCTCCTATTTAGGTAAGGGAGAACATCCTGCTCTCATTAGGAAATCTTTTGGATGAAATTGTCCATTGAGTGATTGCTTGAAAGGGAAACAGATCTGAGCCTCTACACAAGCAATAAACTCCTTCCTTAGCACAGCTCTCTGAGCTAAGTGGCAGCTCCTGATTTGCTTAAGCTCTGGTTTGGGATGCAGAGGTACCATCATCCAGGCAAGAGGCAGCTAAGACCATGCAGCTGCAAAGCAGGGAGACCTTCACCTCATAGCAAAAACACCTGCATCAGCTTCTTGCCAGGCTCAGTTACTGCACAGCACAGCAAGATGCTGCAGGTGTATTATTAATGAATAAAAGGGGAAAACTTCAGCACAGAAGAGCCAGGATCCCTAAATGGGTGTTTCCTTTGGGATAGGGTTTTCTTCCCCGCAAAGGGCATTTCTGATGAGAAATTATTTCTTTCTAGCAAGAAGTAGCATGCTTAGAGCGGCTATGTTATTATCGAATATACAGTACCTTACCAGACTGCAGGTAGTCCCAGGGCTGAAATGCTAAGGAATGGATAACACTGTCATTAGGATGAGCTGCTAGTTCATGAGGAACAGCAGCTGACAGCACTGCCAAGACATGAAGATGGTTTCAGCCGGCTGCACTGACTGCCGATGTTATTGATGTTTCCTTCCCCATGCATCTGTTTTGCTCCTTTGTATTAACACAGCTACTGACCCAAAAGAAGGCTCCTGGAGCTGCTTTACCAAGTGAGAACTGCTCAACAGCCATCACACCTCAAGGCACTGCTCAGCAGCAGCACCACCAGCACCCCAAATCCAGCCCATCTCAAATATTCATGAATTTACTTACACTGAGTCCCCACTTCCCCCAGCCTGCAGTCCAGGATGAAAGGCAGCAAGAAGACATCCCTAAATACCATCTCTCCTCCTCAACATACAAGACCCAGGACATAACACCACCCATCCCACAACCACACTTCCTATCTCCCCTTTCCCTCCTTTTCCTTTCCTTTCTTCCCTACTCCCTCACCTGCCCCACATTATTTCATTACCGTTAATCCTTCCTACTCATCCACCTCATCTCCCAGCCTAAGGTGCAGCTGGGTTTCACACAGTGTGTGTAGGGCCATGCTTCCCACCCCATAGCATCCTTCCCAAGAGGATGTGCTCTAGGAGCCTAATACAACTCTGCTGGCTAGTACTGCTCCAAGTTCAGGGTCACTAAAAGCAGGGATCAACCCAAGGTAGATGCAGAAAAAGGACCCTAAGGGCAGTGGCATCCTCTGATGGGTGCATCATAGAATCCCAGACTGGTTTGGGTTAGAAAGGACCTTAAGATCATCCAGTTCCAACCCCTGCCATGGGCAGGGACACCTTCCACTAGAGCAGCTTGCTCCAAGCCCCTGTGTCCAACCTGGCCTTGAACACTGCCAGGGATGGGGCAGCCACAGCTTCTCTGGGCACCCTGTGCCAGCACCTCAGCACCCTCACAGGGAAGAACTTCTTCCTCAGATCTAATGTGAATCTCCCCTGTTTATGTTTGAACCCATTACCCATTGTCCTATCGCTACAGTCCCTGCAGGGGCTTCCCCACAGACAGGCACATCCCAAGCAAGGCACACAATAAGCATGGCACACACTAAGGACACTGTCATCCTCACAGGAGTTGTCACTCCAAAGAAGGTGTCACTCTTAGGCACATGCTTTCCAAGAAGGGTATCACCTCCAAGCAGCGGCACCCCAACAAAGGTGCGCTATAAGGAGGGTTCAACCCAAGTAGGGGTGCGCTGCAAGCAGGGTGCGTCCCAGGGAGCATCACTCTTAGGCAGCTGCACCCCTCCAGGGAGATGCCAACCCAGGGAGGGTGCTACCAGCAATCAGATGCACCTTCTGACAGGAGCCGTCTCCAGCCACGTACACCATAAGGAGAGTGCACCATAAGGAAGGTGCACCCCAAGTAGAGTGTCCCCAGCAGGCAGGTGAACACCACGGAGGGTGTACCCTAAGGGTGGTGTCACTGCAAGGAAGGTGCCACTCCCGGGCTGTTGCACCCCAAGGAGGCTGTACCTCCAGCACAGCACCCCCCAAGGAGGGTGTCACTCCCCAGCAGGTACCCCCAAAGCCGGGTGCACTCCATGGAGAGCTGAACCCACCCAGAAGAAGGGCACGCCCCGAGGAGGGTGTCACCCCAAGGCAGTGCCGCCCTACGGGGGTGTCACCCCCAGGCAGGTGCACCTCTGGCCGGGCACACCCCAACGAGGTGTCAGCCCCCCCCCCCCAATCCGTCCATCCATCCATCCATCCATCCATCCATCCATCCATCCATCCATCCATCCATCCATCCATCCATCCATCCATCCATCCATCGCCGCCGCCGCGGAGGGCGCGCTCCTCCCCGCCCGCGGGGCCGCGCCAGCCGCCTCCCGCGCACCCGGCCCCGGTGCTCCCGGCGCTCCCGCCCCGCCGCCGCTCCCGCTGCCGCCGCCGCCGCCGCCCGCCGAGCCGAGCGGAGCGGAGCGGAGCGGAGCCGGGCCGGCCCTGTGCATTGTGGTCCGTCGGCGGGGGGCGAACATGGCCGAGAAGCAGAAGCACGACGGGCGGGTGAAGATCGGCCACTACGTGCTGGGAGACACGCTGGGGGTCGGCACCTTCGGCAAAGTCAAGAGCTGAGTACCGCGGCCGTGGGGAGGGCTCCAGGCTGCGCACCCCCTTTCTCCTTTCTCCCTCCTCTAACGCGGGCCTCCGCGCCCTGCATCGCCTCCCCTCCGCGGCGAGGCCGCGCAGCATCCCCGGGGGGCAGCGGGGGGGGAGCCCGGAGCCGGCCCCGTGGGCTCGGGGTGGGAGGTGCCCCCTTCTCGGGGTGGGGTTGTGAGGAGGGGAATGGGGCTCGGAGGGTCGCGGGCGGCGGGAGGGAGATGGAGCCCTCGCCCTTGTGTGCTGCAGCCGCCGGTGCGCCCAGCAGGACCCACCAAAACTTTCCTCCAGAACTAGGAGGAAGGTGATGGGAAGGTTGGGCAGCAAAGCCGGCACTGACGGGCATCCTTCCCTCGCCGTGCCCAGGCTCCGCTCCCTTCTGCCCCTTCATTCCCGATGAGGCGGCAAGTGCTTTCGGGTGGGTGTGAGGAACGGGGAGTAAAGGGGGTTCCTTCTGCTGCCCCCCTGTGCGTTATCCCTGGGGAGCTTGGGAACTGGCTGAGACCGGCAGCAGGCGGGGATGGAGGGTCGGGTCAGGCTTGGGCTGTACACGGGGATTCCTGTGTCATTCCTGCCAGAGTAGTCAGCTTGCATGTTCAAGGCGCTGCTTTGCTTTACCTGGTTTGCAAAGGTTTCTGTTTCTTTTCCCTGTGAATTCTGCCGTGACAAGCAAATTTCAGTTTGAATCAAGATATTAAAAAAAACCCAAAACCAACCAAAACCCAACAAAAAGTGTTGTCTAAGCAGAATGGATAGCGGTGATTCCTGGTTGGAAATGGATTTTGTTCCGGCCAGGGCAGTGTAGTGGCTGCTCGAAGGGGTGATGTGCCTGCATGCAGCGACTGGAGTTTTAAAATAACCCCAAATTTGACAGCAGGGGAAAGAAACCACCACAACCACTGGAGCTAAATCCACCTGTGACCATTAATCAGGCCCCTAAAAATATATTGCCGTGTTTAATCCCAAACCACAGCTTTACTGACTGAAGAGTTATTGGAATAAGTACTTCTAACAGTAAGGACCATTGAAATCACTGGTGGATACCAGCAGACCTCAAAAAGGGCTCCAAAGACAGGGTTTTGTCCTTGCAGACCAAATTAAGCCTGCCAACAATAGCCTTTTTTCCTTAACTACCTTCCAGGAGTAACTAGTACAAACACCCCCCACTCCATATATGACCTTAGTAAAAACTGACAGTTTCCAAAGAAACATTTCAAATGGCATAAAAGATTTCCTAGCTCAAAATCCTTTACAGGTACATAGTATCCTTCATATATGCATATATATATATATATATATACACGTATTTTATATATATATACCCTCTGGCCCCTCAATATTTAGCCTACAACTGACAGGTGTAATTTGCACTCGAGATTGGAAACTGAGAAGAAGAAACTCAAGCTCCTATTTAGACAGAATTCCAGCATTTTAATCAAATGAGCTTTAGAAATAGCTGCGTTCACCCTGTTTAGCAAGAGACGTGAGAAAAAGGAAGATTTTGGCCTGATTGGTTCAAGTGTTGTATATGGTGTGTGTAATAATTGCTTTTACACTAAGAAGGCTGGTGCAGTCGGTGACATTGCTTGTGGGTGGTGTGTTTTCTTCCAACACGGCCTTGCACAAGAGGCCTTTTACTCCTCAAGGTTAAGAAATCATAAAATTACAATTGTCAAGGTTTATAATTGTTAAGGAAATAAACAAAATGGCAATGGAAGAAAGGATTTAGTAATGATGGGCTACCAACCAGAGCTCGAATTTGTGGCTGGAGCTGAATAATCACTTTGAGCCATCAGAAACCAGAGATGTAACAGAAAAAGTCCCTGCTGCCCCACTGGGATGTTTGTTCTGGGACATCAGTGAACGGATCCTCCTAAAAAGTAGCTAAATACTGCAAGAAACTCCTCGTTTTAAGCCCATTCAGTTCCTTGATCTCATTTACAGGAAGACTACTCAAGGCTTTCTTCAGAGGGGGCCAAATAGGTTGGCAGATGAGAGCAGGATTTTAGTGCTAATACTGAAATTGCAGCTGGAGTTGGTGACAGAAATACAGCATCTGTTAGAAAAGAGGAAGGTGGCAGGAGAAACTGTGGTGGATGCGAATGTGGTGGATGGGTAGGAGGTCTCATGCTAAGGGTCAGCATTACTGCACAGGATTTTGCCAAATACTAGGAGAGTTGGAGGTAGTTATTTTCCCTGTCCTGCAGGCTAAAAATAAGGTTAATTTGGAGAAAACAACTGTGGAAATGATCTTGGATTATGACTTTAGTGAAGCAATGAAGGAAGGAGGTGGCATCTCCTCCACTGGTGGTTGGTAAGGATGGGTTAGAAGAACTGCTGCTGTGTTTGTCACGGGCACGTCCCACCCTGCAGGTCCCTGCAGACCTCTCCCGAAACCACAGCCCTTGCACAACGAGGTTCACGGTGGTTGCAGCTTGGGGACCATCAGTCAAAATCCAGCAGCACAAATATTTTTCCATGCACGACATTCCCAATGGCCACTTGGTGGTTTCTTACCCACACTTGTTGGCCACCAAGGTGATCGGTTTGCGGTCCCTCAAGGACCGGCAGTGCATGGGTGATGTTTATGTTGGTTATGCTGAAACCTCATAACGCTATGAATTGGGTCAAATCCTGTTTTCTCCTGCACTGTGCCATTGCTGCTGAAGAACAAACCTTGCGTTGGAGGGAAGATAAACTAATGGAGACTGAACAGATGAAGGGAAGGGAAAGGAAGGATGATATAACATGCGAGCAAGTGGCGCTGGGGTAGAATTAATAGCAGTGTTGCTAAATATATGCTTTGGATGGATTTCATTTTTAACTTTGGGCTAAGATAAAGGCTGGCACAGCTGGTAGGAAAGGAGTTTTCTCACCCCTCCGTAAACTTCTACATTCCACTGAAGCATTTGCAAAACTTAACTCTTTGTGCTTAACTGAGCTGCCTCAAACACGCATCTAGCGGTAGGCTTCTTTGGTACCTGCTGTAAAAAAAGCTATGCTGTCAAGGACTTTTAATGATGATCTCGGCTTATGGTGTTATAAACACTATTCCTCCTCATTTTTTCCTTATAAAAATAACTAAATTAGAAGGAACTTCTTTCAGAAACTAATTCTATATATCCCTTCCCTTCTTTCCTTAGCAGCATCTGATGCTGAAGTGTACTTGTGCCCAGGCAGTCACATGTGCATGTGGATGAGGGAGCAGCTGAGGACACTCACACTGCATCCTGTTTGGTGCCAGTTTTTGGAGTTTAGGGTCAGCATTACCACCTAACCCTTATGGCTGGGTTATTTTGCAGCACAGTGTGCAGTGCTTCTCATCTCAGTGTGAAATCCATCTTCACTGCTCACTCCAGTTGCTCGTTTTAAGCTGTGGTAAACCTTACCTGAGTATTTGTCACTAGAAGACAAGATATGTGTTTAAATCCCCTTTCTAATACTGCCACTCAGCCCCTTCTTCTCCTCTGGGCTTTTAATCCAGGGAGTTAGTGAGAGGAAAGGAGAGGGCTCCCTCACCACCACCACAGGCCACCATTGCCCATCCCTGGGGTGAGGACAAACCCCTTAGAGACGAGCATCCCAAGCATCATCTTCCATGCTTATGCTCATCCTGGGGCCAGATTATCCCATCAATGTGCACATGGAGTCAGTGGCAGTGACTCCTTGAGCAGAGGGAAGGTTGTTCTTGCTACCCCATGTCAAAATTCCTGCATCTGCAGGCTGCAGCCAAGGAGACCTGAAAGGCTTCAAAGTCTCCCACCACATAGCAAATTATGTTGTGTCTTTGTCTCTATTTCTCAAGGCGTTCGAGTAGGCTTAACAAGCCACAGGGGACTGGAACAATAATATCTCTGTATCTAATGCTTACTGTAAGCAAAAGATGGATTACAAAATAGACTGTTTATTTTTAATTATTAATGTGTTGGAGCTAGCAAACCTTCACAGAGTTACACAGTGTTTGTCATGGATGGAAGGGAGACGAACTCTTCAGCAATGGTATTAAAAACAATAATTATTCATTCCGGGCATGGCCATTTATTTTTTTTCCCAAGTGCATAATAAAAGATTTTCAAAGCATAAGCTGGGGTAAGGCCAGAAGGGATTGTCTTGAAACAAAGGATGGCAGAAACCAGGGGTTTCTTCCTAGTTCAGTGTTAAACCTCTTTCTGTTGCTGTTCCTCAGTTTCCCAGCTAATGGCTGCGTGTGTTACATTTCTACCATGGACCTGAGTGAATCAAGGGCAGCTTTCAAAGCACAGGTTCTTGTGCTCCGGGGAAAGAGAGAGCAGAGGTATTGCAGTGCTATATTTGACCAAATTGAATGCTGCTGGTGAAAGACTTGATCTCAAAGACACAGAATCATAGAATGGTTTGGATTGGAAGCGGCTTTAAAGCTCATTCAGTTCCAGTCCCTTGCCATGGGCAGGGACACATTCCACTAGAGCAGCTTGCTCCAAGCCCCTTCCAACGTGGTCCTGAACACTGCCAGGGATGGGGCACCCACAGCTTCTCTGGGCAAGAGAAGGTGTGGATTCTCTGTCCCTTTTGAATGTCTGCTGAAGATGTCCTATGCCCCCCTTTCATGCCTTCCCCAGCCTCCTCGGTGTAATATACACCATGACAAGCTTGGCAGATAGAGATCAGTACCCTTTATAAGATTACTACTGGCACAACTTGGGGAGTATTTCTTGCACTTAACGAAGAGGCTGTACCCTGACCCGTTTGCAAGCTGCAATAAAGCTTGAGCACGCTTTTGTGCCCCTTGCACACATGCTGCTTTGCAGAGGCTTCCTCCAGTACTGCCCTGCTCCCCTCTTTCCAAGGATGCACCGGGGAAAATGCCTCCTCGGACTATTTACAGCACAATCTTTGCACCGCGAGAGAGGAATTATCTGCCTCCTCCAGCCCTCAGCTAATCTCTAAATTGCATCTATACTGCAAAGCTGAGTTTATTTTAATTTCACCTAGTAGTTTCAAGTATTGCGAGGAATAAAATGGACGTGCAAAGCGCTGCTTTAATTTTCAAGGGCAGTAAAGTGTTTTATTTTTAGGATGCTCTTACTGAGGAAAGAATCTCTGGTAGGTCTTATCTGGTGGCTAATAATAGTGACCTGGCATGCCCTGAGCAGCGCCGGCGCTGCCGCCCTGCCCTTCTCACGCCGACTGCTTACTCCGCTTGCTTCTGATCAGCTCATTAGAGCCTCCAAAATTACAGTCTAATAATGTAATAACATGGTTTGCTTGTAATTATTAACTCCTTGTGCTGTATGTTAGTACTGGAAGGGTAACGTTCATAATTAAAGAGCACAAATATTTACTGTAAGCAGGTTTTCTGTGCAGTCTTTAGAAAACCATCCGTATGTTACTGTTTTTAATACAACATGAATTGTTGAGAAGGGGTAGCTCATGGCCAGAGAACCCTTTTGGACATCAACATCCAGCTGACAGTTTCCAAGCAGTTTCTGCTATAAACTTCAATATAAATCGTGCTTCCTAGGAGCTTCATATTTTGTTTGTATAGTCTGTTTATTGATAACAAATGGATCGGATGCTGAATCCATTTCACATTATTGTTAAGTTAGTGCCAGTCCCCCAGTGACAGTGGTGCTACTCCTAGTCTGTGGTTGCCGTTTGTCCCCGTACACAGGAGATAAGCATCATCTCAATGCACCAAGTGCCCATTATAAAAACCCATCCTGAAGTTTGTATCTTTTCTAACACCACATTTTGCTCTTGCAGTACAGCAGTGTTCCTGCAGCCTGTCATCAAACCAAGAAGCACGCTTAAGAAAGTATAAATAGAAATTCATTTTAGTAATGCAAATCCTGCAGTCCAATTTTGGGCAGGGAAAATCCCTGTATCATTTTTTTAAAGAAGTGTGATGGTCTAGTTCTAAGACTTGGTTTATCAGGGGTTTAATCCACCAGTGTGTTACGGTGGAGATTCTCCTTTTCTATTTAAATATATCTGTTTATGATTAATGCAGCTTTTACATGCTATAAACCCTTGCAAATTAGCTTTGGGTATGACCTCTTCCAGTAACTCAGTGTTTTATTTAGTGGAGTGTTTTTTGTGGAGAAGTCTCCTCCCTTCTGTCTTACATGACTCCAGTGGGAAAACAATCAAGAGACAAAAACTAAGATAAAATATTTCACCCCCTCGTATTTTGTTATTTTTCCCTTCAAGAGTTGTTTTTTGCTTATAAATCAATGTCCTAAATGGCCTATGTGAATCTTGCTATACAGTTTAGTGACTTTGCAATGCTTTCTTTCTAATAGTTGGCGAACACCAGCTGACTGGGCACAAAGTAGCAGTAAAAATACTCAACAGGCAGAAAATCCGCAGCCTGGATGTGGTTGGGAAGATCAAACGGGAAATTCAAAACCTTAAACTCTTTCGGCACCCTCATATTATCAAACTGTGAGTACCCTTCTGCCTTTCAGCTTACTCGATCTGCAAAGACTTCAAGTTCACAATTGACTAGGTTTCAGGAGATGGCTTGGAGTAGTAGATGATGTTAGGTATGTGGTCAAGGTTTTGCACATTGGAGCTAATCATTGCTTTTTGAGAGACTCCCACTAATTTATGGAGGGGACACAGTTGACACTTTGAGCAATGATGGAAGATGTTTCTCCCATTGGGAGTAACAGCCAACAGACCAATGTCCCTGCATCAGGTTTTGCTCAAAGCTGTGCTCTGTTGAACACAGAGACCATTGTAAAGGTGTGTAGGGAAGGTCTGGGCTTTCCTGTGCTGGGATGCTATTAAGAGTTTTTGTGATGATCCTATTTAAGCTTCAGATCTCCAGTATTGGAGCTGCTGAGAATTGCGCCTGAAGACCGGCGGCATGGCCAGGCTCATAGAGTGAAGCCTTGGCCCAAAGTCAATAGGATTTATGTTTTAATAGCCTGATTACCCAGAGCTTAAAGGAACATTTCTTTATTATTATTTATTATTCAGACATAGGTTTTCAAAGTTGCCACTCTGATGAACCTGAATTTAAGTTGTAAATCAGCACCTGCACTCCAGCCTCTGGGAATCCTTCTCAATCCCCAGTTTGTGCAGGCAGGCCACATTAACGAGGCACTTGATAATATCTTTGGCATTTCTGTAAAAGAAAGCTGTTGAATGGTAACTGCAAGGAGAAGTTGACATTTAGGTCAGCCTTAAAACTGGCATGAGATATAGCAAATACCTGGGATTTAGAGGCAAGGGAAAACAAATTTTCTCTACAGTTAAATAACTAACCATGCAGCAGCTGTTGACTTTAGAGTAACTTCACAGTTCCATGGATTTATTGGAGAACAGATTGGTATTATTTCATGAAAAACCCAGCAAGAGTCCCCAGCTGTGTACCCAGCATCCTGCAAGTTAAGTCCTGGTCACACATTTGTCGAAGTATTAAAGCCTAAAAATTAAACCCAACTTAACAATGTAAGTGTCCTATGGTACATACTGCAATCATGAAATACAGTGATAAAAGAGGTGAGGAAGAGAGACCTTGGTGCATAAACCTGCTCTTTCAATAGCTTTTTATGTGTATATAAAAGAAATAGTGGGGCAGTTAACAGTAGCTGGGATGTCTGGGTCCAAAGCACTTCAGAAAAATTAGGTTGATGCTGTTGATCTTTATGGGGCTACCACCTGTTCACTGCTGATCTCTGAAAACGGTTTGAAATGTGTTTGTGACAAATTCCAACCCACCGAAATTCGGCTGTAAAAAGAAAAAAGCAAACCACAATGTATGTGGAATAAAAGAGAGGGGTGTCTCAGATGGTGCTGCTATGAATGCCTGTAGCAGCATTGACCTCAGCTGATGGTATTTTATCAGCTGGAACACTGAAATGGGTTTGCAGCGCTCAGGGATCATACTGAACGAAAATGGAGAATAAATAATTTGCAAGTCAAGGGTGGTGTTCTTTTTATTTTTTTCCCCATTCTAGAATATAGAGGGATTTAATATTTGAAAAATAACTTTTTGGGGTGCTCATCTTTGTTTCTAAAGCTTTCAAAAGAAGCTCCCTCTAGTGCCTAGAGTTCTTCATCTTCTTTATGCTTTATGCAAGGGAAACCAACTATACCCCCTTCCCTGCCCCCTGCAAAAGAAGCATTCATTTCTAAAGCTGTTGTTGCAAATCTTAGCCAAAATGGAAATTTGTAAGTCAGGACAGTCCTTAGTGTCACAGGATTGTCTGGCAGAGATTTCAGAGGATCATTTAAAAGCTTGAAGCAAAACTGTAGGTCTGTAAAAGAGATCCTTTCATAGACAAGGGAAAGATTATACTCAAAATAAGAGATGGCTTTTCAGAAGTGGAAAGCAGTTATAAATGCAAGATCCAAACAAATGCTTATTTTAAGTGTTGACATGAATCTGTTTAAAAGCCTTTCCCTGTTCTTCTTGATTATTTTCTTAAGTAATCCACTTGTGTTTTTGAAGGTACCAGGTCATCAGCACGCCAACGGACTTCTTCATGGTCATGGAATACGTATCCGGTGGTGAACTGTTTGATTACATCTGTAAGCATGGACGTGTAAGTGCCAGTGCTGTGCCCAAACACAGCCCAAACACCTGTGTGGGAAGAGGATGGTGTTTAGAAGCAAAACGACTGCTAAAGGGAGCACAGTTAAGGTTAAGGCCCAAAATAGAAGTTGCTTCACAGCAAACCCATCTGAAGTGTCTCGTACCCGGCTCACACAAACGCTGTGTGTGATTTTTTTTTGCAGCGTTCTCTGATGTATTTCCATACGCAACCCAAAGCATCCGAGGTAACGTGTTGCTTAGTGCAAATATTTGGAAAACTAGCATAGTTTTATCATTTTTAGCTACGGGTTGCCTGTCAAAACCCCCATGGTTCAGCAGCAGATTTACGGCATGAAAAGGAAGACGGCTCGGTGTGGTCTCCATCCCAGTCGTTCACCTCCCTGAGACTCCCCCTTGGTTCCACGTCAGGGTTTTTGAAGACTTTTAAAGGATGTGGCTTATCTGAACAACGTTCTCAAAAGCCAGTAATCCTGCTGGTTATAAATCACCTGAGGTGTAGGTTAAACCCATGGAATGTGGTATTATGGTTACAAAGAAAATCACTAGTGTCTGCCCCATGGACCTCCTCATAGTCAGGGAGCAATTGCAGGGCAAGGAGATAAAAATGGGCTTAAGTGGACATTCAGAGTAAGGTTTCAGGTGAAGGATCAGCCCATTATACATTTCCTGTCTGTACAACAAAAATCAATGCATTTATAACTAAATGGCATAGATTAGTGCACTGGTCGATGGAGTGGACTCCACTTTTCTGAGTGTAGTTCTGATTTCCAGCACGTTTCACCCATCTGGATCTTTTCAGTGACTAATTTGGATCTTTTCTGGATTTTTGCATACAGAAACTAAATTTTTCATCAAGTGTTTTTAGGAAATAATCAGTCAAAATAATCATTCTCCTCATCATTTTAAATGTAAGTTCTCTTAATAAAAGTCAGACAACTTTATAGCTAATTTAAATCATCACAGTATTCCACCTTTAGCTTTTTTTTCCCCAAAGCCATCTGTCCATGAGGAATTGCTCCCTGCAGCATCCTCTGCGGTGTTTTGTCCAGCCTTGATCTGCATGTGCTGTGTAAGAGAATTGGTCCTGTTGGGATAGCAGGCCATTGCCTCATAGGTGCCACCAGCACGTTCTTGATAGCTCAGCTAAATTCAGGTTTCTAATTTCATCTTGGGCTGTATCATTTGCAGAGACTAGCACATTATAAAATGCAAGGGGGGAAATCTGCTTTATTTGCTGCTTCTGGTCACAAGCGCACTGTGATTTTCTCTCTGTGCCCTGGAACGTTTTGGCTCCTTGCTAAGTCAAACCTTCCCTTGCCAGCTCTGCACGCAGACCAACCTTCAGGACTATTATTTCCCCTTGCCTCTGTAGGTTGAAGAGGCAGAAGCTCGACGCCTTTTCCAGCAGATTCTCTCTGCAGTGGATTATTGCCACAGACACATGGTAGTCCACCGAGACCTGAAACCAGAGAACGTGCTGCTGGACGCACACATGAATGCAAAGATAGCTGATTTTGGTATGTGACCCCAGCAGCATTCCAGACATGCAGCCAGCTCCGCGGCGCTTGCTGGAGCGTGTCCGTGTAGCACGCCTTACAAAACCCAGAGCCTGTTTTCCTAACCACTAAGCAGTTGCTTTACCTGAAAAGCCCACAGTTGTAAACACCATCCCTTTTGAAAAGCAGGGATTACCTACTGTAGGCTGCTTCTGTACTGCCATTAAGAATAGAGCAGGAAAGTAATGCAAATCTTCACTATGTTTTAGTATAATCACCTAATACAAAGATTTAGCTGATTTATGTATAAGACAGACTCAGTGCAGTTAGTTCCAGGTTGAGCTGGCTGCATGTTTATTTTCATGCATGTTCTCCATAGGTTTTGCCATGTGCTCTTGGCCTCACTTTGTTTTACAAATGAGCAGTAACAGGAGGCTGTTAGGTTGCATTCCTGATTGAAATCCATTGGAATAGCTGGGCTACCAGCCGTGTCCTGATGACTCCTTTCTAGCAGTGATAAATCCTTTTGAAGATTTACTAATTTCACACCCCAACACAATTCCTATTTAAAGGAAGAGCTCTGGGATGAATTATGTCTCTGTTCCTGTGTGCTCTGGGATTTGCAATTTACAGAAGCAAAATTAGCCTGGAGTGAATATTCTTTGGTTGGACATCAAAATAACAATAATGATGATAATTGTGGAGGAAGTTGTGAATGCCCCATCCCTGGCAGTGCTCAAGGCCAGGTTGGACACAGGGGCTTGGAGCAAGCTGCTGTAGTGGAAGGTGTCCCTGTCCATGGCAGGGGGTTGGTACTGGTTGAGCTTTAAGGTCCCTTCCAAACCAAACCAGTCTGTGCTTCTATAAGAATCATCAGAATTTTCAGATCAGCTCAAAGGAGTTTTATCTAAATTAAATGAACGGTCCCCCCCTCAAATTTCCCCCTCCATTTACAATACCTCTCCTTCTCTGTGAGACACTGAGTTCTCTGTGCCTGGACCCTCACATCAAACATCACTATACACTAAACATCTTCTTTTTAGGATTGTCCAACATGATGTCAGATGGCGAATTCCTACGCACCAGCTGTGGCTCCCCAAATTACGCAGCCCCTGAAGTCATCTCTGGAAGGTAGGACATTCCACTTCTCACCAGAACCTGTGTGAGCACATAGTCTTTAAATGTGTTCTTGGGATTGGAAACAGCTTTGCACATCTAGTCAAAGCAGCTGGGTCCTGCCTTCCAGCCTGTATTTTATGTTTAGGTGAATCTACTGGCAGAAATCTGAAAGTATGCTTGGTTATTGCAGTACCTGCAATAGCAATAGGAAACCAGGTTTTGCTAAAGGTGTTCACCTTGGATGAATTAGGATAGGAGATGTTGACTATATTGCTAATTAAAGAGGAGGGAAATTACTCTTAGCATGCAAATACTGAGGTTTCAGATGGAAAGGCTTTTCCAGATCACAACCTTCTCTCCTGCCCACCTGTAATATAAAATAACAGTGTAATGAGGAAAACCGTTCACTAGCAGAAGAATCAGGGAGATCTTTAATCACTTCCCTACATTGTTGAGCTCTTGTGTTGAAGATACTTGTCTTCTGGTTCCTTAGGCTGGGGTTTTGTTCATGGCAGTAGTCTCAACCCTTATAACTTTGTTTCAGATTGATGACTTGAGTTGACAAACCTCCAGTGTGGTTGCATGTTGCAGCATGCAACATCTGCACAACACATGGCACGTTGAATGCATTCTGCAAGGGTGAATCGGACTTTACTATGTTGATACAGAAGTGTTACCTCCTATGTTTTACTGTTGGGAACCTAAGTTACCCAGACTGTGCTTATTTCCCTATCATCTCTCTCTATAATAGCATACCAAGGATTGCAAATACAGATTTCAGTCCTCTGTATGGTCCTTCAAACTGCCCGTCTCATTTTGTGACCCGTATTTTTGAGCTGCCCTTAGCATGAGCAGTAGTTTTCCTGTATTTCCAGCACAGAATTTTGCCTATAACCATAGCTTTTAAATACAACATTTTGCTCAAAGTGTGTTTGCTGTGATTATGGTTATTTTATCCCTGTTTATGTCAATATAAGTGTTGGCAGAGTATCCTAGGAATTAGACTAGCATCCAAAAACCCTGTTGTGACTACAGCTCATTGTGCGAAACCAAGTAAATCCTCACTGTCAAGAGGGGGACCAAGCCAGAAGCTCTACCATGAGTCCAAATAAATATTATTAGTATTATTTCAATGTCGTTTTCAGTAAAGGCCAGACGCACATTTAGGAGACAAGGCACATGGCAGATTAACAAGGAGGATTTAGTCCCTGTATGCAGAGCATGATTGTTCCAAGGATACAGGCAATACAGCTTATTAGCAACAAAAGTTGAAATAAGACCAAAATCAAGCCTACACATTGCACTTTTTCACTGCCTATAGCTGCAATACCATTTGTAGTACCAGTCATGCTTAATACCCCTGATTAATATCCCAATCTGCCGTGTCAAAGCTACAGCAGAGTATGCATTTATGAGAAAAAGACACGATCCACTGTTCCTGCAGTGGGATGAGTGCATTCCCACTGGGTGTGCGGGTCAGGGGAGCTAGTTCCCAGCTCCTGCTGCCTTTGCTGGGTAGAGCATAAAAGCAGTGGAGTGTGACAGCTCAGATTTCGGAGTCCTAAAAGTGTATCTCGTTCAGGCTTAAAAGTCCAGTCAGCTATTCAGGTCATGCAGTTATCAGCAAAAGGATCAGGCTTCCTATCTGTTGGAGTTGGGCATGGAGGCAGGATCAAGAAGGCATCTAGCTAATCGTCTGCATTTCCAAACTGACATTGCTGCTGTCCCTGGCCTCAGTGGGGAAAGTCTCACCCTTGGGTATGCAGAACTGGTGTTGTAGTGGTGTTCAGGGAATGGCTGTGTGCATGACTGGCGCTTTTTGTACATTGGTGTGTCTGTGGGGGTGCTTTTCAGGAGGAGCGAGTGCAGGATGCTGAGGTTTCAGGAAGAGACTTCTCTATTTCCATTTGAACCTCTGTGTTTTGGTAAGGTTTGACAGCCCAAGGGTAAGCACTGCAGGAATGCATCAGTTGTAGCAAACCAGATAAACAAATAGAGCAAGCAGGCAGCAGCAAAGTCAGTATATTTGGGGTGTCCAGACTTGGTGATGCCAGGGAGCACATTAGCAGCTGGTCAGAAGCAGGAGTGCTCATGTACCAGCACACACACTTCAACAGAGAGTAAATGCTCAAAGATGTATTACCTGCTGCCATTTCATCTGCCTCGCTGAATGAATGGTGTCCCTGCCCATGGCAGGGGGGTTGGAACTGTAAGGTCTCTTCCAACCCAAACCATTTGAGGCTTCTATGAACAGAAATTGGTGGCTGAGCCCTTGGGGCAAAGCAATAAGGAACCTGGCAAAGCTCTTGGAAATAGGGGTTTGCTTTGTGGAGGGTCTGGCAGAGGCAGGGATGTGCATGGCCATCCAGAGAAGCGCGGGCAGCCAGCACCAGCTCTGCCGTGTCATTTCCCCTCACTCCTCAGTGATTTTGGCTTAGGCAGGTTTAGCTGGGAGCATCCATGTGAGCGGCCCTGGGGTGGGATGCAGCTCTGGCCTGGTGGAGCTGGCAGCAGGTCCCCAGCTCACCCGGTACAGCCTGCACCCTAACTAAGGAGAGGAGGACAGGGGATGACACCTTTCTCCTGCCTTGCCTTCACCCAGGCTGTATGCTGGTCCAGAGGTGGACATCTGGAGCTGCGGTGTTATCCTCTACGCCCTTCTCTGTGGCACTCTGCCTTTCGACGACGAGCACGTCCCCACTCTCTTCAAGAAGATCCGGGGAGGTGTGTTTTACATCCCAGAATACCTCAACCGCTCCGTTGCCACTCTCCTCATGCACATGCTGCAGGTTGACCCCCTCAAGCGAGCAACCATCAAGGACATCAGGTCAGCCAGGGTGGGATGGGGTTGGCTGGCTGTGCTCGGGGGGCTCTGACAGACTGGTAGCAGAGGGCGGTGGTTGTCCTGGGGGTTATCTGCTGGTGTGTGAGCAGTAGTCAGCTAATCCAGCTGATTTTTGTCCCAAGTGATTCAAGGAGCATTCATGCACCCTTCTGTGCTGATGGAGAGATAGGTGAGGATGAACAGGGTGATGATTTTGTATGTATTTTGTGTGCCTGTGTATATATACATATATGTGTATATATAATCCTAGAATGGTTTGGGTTGGAAGGGACCTGGTCTTACATATATAAATGTTGTTTTATTGCATTATAAAATAGCCTAAAAAGCTCTTAAAAGTGCTTAGCAAACCCAGCTATATTGCACAATGATTCTAAGAACTTAATATCCACCAGCCATTTTTCATAACTTTATTTCAAGACCACCTTCCCCCAGATACCAGTTCAGAATAAGAGGGTAATCACTGTACTTAGTGTCTATCCAATCAAAAAGGAGAAGAAACATAAGAATTACTAACTTAATCCATAAATATTGGTTATAGTTTTAAATGTGAGCAAATGGTTTATCTTTAAATGCAGCAAAGTCTTCTTGTGTAGTCAATGAGTGCAGTGCCCATGAACCTTTTATCTGCATGCCTCAATGTGGAAATTCAAGGTAAAGGGTACAATTGGGTTCTTATGCATGTATGTGTGCCCACAGAGATCATTATAAGTTTATGACTGGTAGCAGGACTTCAAAATTCTCACTGTCTGAGCCATTTTAGAAACATTTTGTTAAACTGGAGACTGTTAAGCATTTTATGAGGTTTATAGTAATCATTACATCCCACTGGTGTGCTAAGCATATACATAAATGTTACTAGGACATTCAGGAGTTCTCAGGTTTTTGATGTATTTGCAATGGATGGCCTTAATTTTACCCTTCAGGGAAAACCAAGTAAAATGCCTGTTTTATTTCTGAATTCTTTAATGCTAGAGGATTTAATTACATTATAGAGCAGCAGCACTTACGGTGAAATTACAGTTGTTCTGTAGACCCTATAGACAAGGTTATCATTTAATTATCACTTAATTATCATTGACTTCATTGTAAGTCAGTGGGAATTGGGTACCTGGATAGCTTTGATGCTCTGTATCTCTATCAGACCCATAGTAATCAAAAAGTGTGAGCATCTCATATGTGCTGAGCTCTTACTTCAAAGCCATGTGAGCCAGCAGCCATGCTTGTAAAGTGTCATTACCATTGCAATACTGGGGTGCCCATGCAGGGCTGGGTTGAGCTCAACCTGCAGCTGAGGATTCATATTGGACCAAGCGAGGGCCTGGCAGCAATGGATGCCCCAGCCCTCCTTGCACAGAGCTCACAGTGGCTCCTCTCTGCTTTCCCTAGGGAACACGAGTGGTTTAAGGAGGAGCTGCCCAGTTACCTGTTCCCAGAGGACCCTTCTTACGATGCCACCGTCATTGATGATGATGCAGTTCGGGAAGTTTGTGAGAAGTTTGAATGCACGGAGTCAGAGGTGATGAACAGCCTGTACAGTGGTGACCCTCAGGACCAGCTAGCCGTGGCTTACCACCTCATCATCGACAACCGGAGGATCATGAACCAAGCCAGCGAGTTCTACCTCGCCTCCAGCCCCCCCACAGGCTCCTTCATGGATGACAGCACCTTGCACATCCCTCCTGGGGTGAAGCCGCATCCCGAGCGGATGCCGCCGTTGATAGCGGACAGCCCCAAAGCGCGATGTCCTTTGGATGCCCTCAACACCACAAAGCCAAAACCTCTGACTGTCAAAAAGGCCAAGTGGCACCTGGGAATCCGCAGCCAGAGCAAACCCTATGACATTATGGCCGAGGTGTATCGTGCTATGAAACAGCTGGACTTCGAGTGGAAGGTAGGGAGTGCTGCTGCTTCTTGGTGGCCTTCAAGGGTCATTTTCCCATGAGCTGAATTGCTCAGGGATGTTAGTAAGTATGCTCACAGCCTCACCCAGTGAATGCCCCCCACCTTGCAATCATCCCAGCTCTTTCTTGTTAATATAAACACGCTGAATTAAGATGCTAGCTGTGGTTCAGTATCTGTTGTGTTTATTTATGGCATGAAATAAAGGCTTGCTTTCCAAATGCTCTTAGCTTCTGGATGGAAAGATGATTCTGCCTCGTTTAGCTGCAGGGATAAGAGGAGCCAGACACATTTCTAATTTTAGTGGCTAATTCCTTGCGAGGTCATCTTGAGTGCTCCTGAGCCAATAACCCTCATTATTTGTGCTTGGGTCCTGTCAGTCATGTGTGCTGAAATGGCACGATACGCATCTGCATAAAAGATGCACAGATGAGGGGAGCAGGAGCATTGATGTGGTGGCATTTTCCTTGACAGAGATGGAACAGTGCTCGTGGACCAGATGTGCTTTCAGACACTTACCGATTCCTTGGTTTAGGCTCAGCTTCTTGAAGCTTGATTTAAGCCCAGATGACATTTTAGTTGACGGTACTCACTTCAGATATTTCTTCAGAGCTACGCAGAGTTTAGTCACAATCTCTTTCAAAGACAGATTAATAAATCCCTAAGTTAGCCGTGAATATCTGCTGCTGAGCCTGATTCCCTGAGCCTCAGTGCAGTTGCTGAGGTGAGCTCTCCTGACTCATGGCCTTTCGTAGCAGCCTCATGAGAGCATCAGGAGCAAGGTAAGGAGAATTTCAGCCCAGATCTTCATCACCAGAGGAGATGATACCCTCCTCGCTCCAGCTCCCAAGGGTTGTACAGTGTGAAGGTCATTGTGCTGCTTCTTCAAAGCCTTCTATCTCCTGCTTATTTTTATTAATGTTACATATCTAAAAGCCAAGTAGCACCCAGAAACCTGATTTCACTGCACCAGCCAGGAGATGAACTGTCTTCAGATGCATATACCCTAACTATTCTATGATTCTATATGTGTGTGCCAGCCAGACATTTGTTAGTTGCACGGTTTTATAGAGAGTGAACAAACCTGATGTATTTCTGGTACAGCTTCACAAACCAAGTCAGCCCAACGTCTTTATGTGGGCAGTGGAGCTTATTTTGTAGGAGAAGGTTTCACAATAATTTTTCCCACCCTAAGAATAACTTCAGATGTGACTCTTCATCAAAATAGCTTTTCCATCCATGCAATTGCTTTGTAATTATAGCACAGAGAAGATCTCATTGCAAATGAGGTGCAGCAGATTGTGGGGTGGGAAGCAGCAAGAGAAAATCCACAGCTCAAGACTGATTCATGAACACTGAGTTTAGCTGCGCTGATGGGAGAAGTTGCTCCCCCCCACCTGCCCAGCTGGTTTCATGGGCAAGGTCCTCATACGTGGGCACATGAGTGGACTTTTTGGCTTATATAGCCATTGCTGCTGGCGAAGGAGACATCAGTTCGGTGGCTGGCAGATGGGTCAAAGCAGCTTCATCTGCCAGCAGCTGGTGAATCACAGCCCTATGAAGCATCTTTCTTAGAATAGGAGCAAATAGGATGTGAAACCATTTAATTCATTTTGTAGGCATTGTTCTTTCTAGAAACTGTTTTTACTCCGAAAACGTCTTGCTAGTGCTTAAAAAAACATAAGGGAAGAAATGTTCTGCTTTCTATCTTGAGTCTTACACCCAAAAGCTTGTTTCTCACTGCAGGTAGTGAACTCCTACCATCTCAGAGTGCGCCGCAAGAACCCGGTGACAGGCAATTATGTGAAGATGAGCCTGCAGCTCTACCAGGTTGACAACCGCAGCTATCTCTTGGATTTCAAAAGCATCGATGGTAAGTGGGAAATGGTGCAACGCAAGATGTAAGAACACATAAAATGGCCAGTTTTGAAGCTGATAATAATAGTAACAATAATAATAATAAATCTTTGTGTTTTGAAATGCTTTTGCAGCTACTTCAAGTCAGTGGAAGCCCCTTTGATCAATTTGCTTCCACTACTGTTACTAGTTCCATACCAAACATGCATTGCAGATGCCAAACTAATGCCTCTCTTTCTTTGCTCTATTTTGAATATTGAAGACGATGTGATGGAGCAGAGGTCTGGCTCGTCCACGCCGCAGCGCTCCTGCTCTGCCGCTGGCTTACACCGGCCAAGGCTGAGCATCGATGCTGCCGCGGCCACCGAGTGCCAGTCACTGATGGGCTCCCTGAGCGGCTCCTTTGTGGGCAGCATCCCCTCGGTGACACCGCGCCTGGGCAGCCACACCATGGACTTCTTCGAGATGTGCGCCAGCCTCATCATGGCCCTGGCTCGCTGATGAGTGCCACCGAGGCACCGGTCCTTCCGCACACGGTATTGCACTGTGAGGATCTGGTCTGACCTGTCCGTCCCTTGTTTCTTCTGCTTCGTTCCTCCTCCTCCGCCCCTCACCACTCCAGACTGTGACACAGACCCAATTCCAGACCCAGAACATACACCCCTCTACCAAGGCACTGAGGAAATCAAGAACAGCTTCATTTCATTCACAATACTGTGGTGAAATGTATCCGATATCCTTTTTTTGCCTGGTGAACCAAATGGGAAATATTGGCATGACTGTAAAGTAGCAAATGTATCACTGATGTTTTGGAACACACCTCCCCTCTGGTTCATCCTGAGTTAACTGAGTGCTGGCCAAGCCTTCTGAGATACAGGCAGCATGTGATGAGATTGATGTTGTGTCCCCTTTGCTGTGCAGAGCAGGGGCAGGATGGGCTGAGCCAGGTCAGAGGGGTCAACCAGGAGCTACAAGAAATGGAGTGGAGGGGTAGTGAAGCAGCTCTGCAGCATTCACACCCGGGTGCCAGCAGAGTGCCAGCCTCTGGTAACATTTTCCTCCTAAAACTCGCAGCTGCTTAGATGCTTCTGCACTAGTGCAATATGCCATGCCCTGTTTTTTTCCCCATGCTAAAGATGGGAAGGTGGGATTTGCAAAGGTCCTGTTGGAAACCTGCCATGGAAAATCCTGTAAGTGTCAATTCTTTACAGAGGAATGTCCCTGAAGATGCTTTGTTTCTTCTCACAAGAGCCCCAGACGTTACTGACCTGCTCACCACATTCAGATGCGAAGGCTGCTTGCCTTTTAACCAGCCCTTAATCATCATGCCCAGCCAACACGCTCACTCTCCCCTGCCACACCACCAGTTCCAGCACCTCAATCTCAAGCAGGAGTCCAATGAGCCACCAATGGACAGCAAGATGCTGATGACCCACCTGAAAACCCAGCGCTTTGCCCGCACTTCACCCAAGGGTGGGGATCCAGGCGAGATGGAGCAGCATCATGCCGCTCCGGAGCACTTACCCCTCACCTTTCCCATAGGAAGCCTTCGCCTGTTGTCACCATCCTAGAACTGCTGCAGATCTGCCTTCCTTACCTCCCTGCTCACCGCTTCATGCTGCTGGAGGCTTGCTTTTCATGCTGAAGGGCTCTCCCATCCCGCTGCTGCTCACCGGACTGTGACCTTCACCACGCCACTGATAAGGCAGGGATATCTGAATCCAGAGTTTTACTCTTTCTTTACTACTGGTTACCTGAAGGATAGGGTTTTCTTTTTTAAGACAAACTACAGGGATTTTTAAGGTTAAATTCTTGTTATTCAAGAGTAAGCTCTAATGCATGTATGACTACTTTGTGTAAAAGAATTCTTATTTTTTGATTACCTAGGTTTAATTTCATGGGCCTCTGCTTGGCTTTGCTATGGTATTCGATTCCATTTACTTGATTTCAAAGAAAGATAATAGTCTCATCACTCAAGAAGAAAATGCTTTATGAAAACGTCGCCAAAAATATCCAGGGACAAACACACACGTGTTTATTTTCTTCTCTTTTGGGGGGTTTTGCTTTAAGAAACAAAGCAAAGGGAACTTTTGCTGGTCCCAGGTATGTGGTCATTCAACTTAACTTAAAAAACTTTAATCCATCTTTTTGATAGTTTCTTATGACCCATTAAGGGGTTTTGCCAGCTGTTTTGTTTTGTGTACAGTTGCACTTTAATTTATACTTTCTGCAAGTTTCTATGGGAAGCAAGGAAGGGAATGACACATTAAGCCTTTTGTACTCATCATTTTAGGTAATGAAGACAAATACAGGATATTTTTGCCATCAACTGGCAGTTCAATGGACATTTTCAGCTTGAAGTCCCTTTTTGTTTCCTTAAGAAACATAAAATTGCCTTACTTTTGTTACAGATTACACTTGGATTCTCACTAAACGTGACTTTACAGCTCCTATTCTTCCAGAAGCCGCACAAAATAGAAAGCTTCTAAACAGTTTTGCTGTTCTTGTCTGCGAAATCCAGCACAGCAGTGGTTGGGTTATAAACCCAGCAGCAGAACACTTTTGTTTTTAGAAGAAATACTGGAAATATTTGTAGTACTCCTAGGTTTTGTAATGATCCTTTTATGATATGATCATTATTGAATAAGTACTCTGGGGTGGAGGATGGCTTTGGTTCCTGTCCCTGGTGGCTATCAGATGATGCGTGTCTCCAGCGCTGTGGTGTGAGCAGGTCAGACCTGGTGAGGATGGAGAATCTAGACTCCTGCATGCAAAAAACAGCCCACCCCAGACTCAAAGCTGAGCAGCCCACCCAGGTCTTTAGCAGCTTCCAGATCAGTGCTGAGACATGAGCAAATGCTGAATAAACAGCCCTAATGGTTTTGGGTGCTGGAGATAAGCCCCTTTGGAAAAGAGCAGGAGAAGGCAGCTGAGCGGCCATAGGGATGGACATTCATTTCCATCCAGGAAATAGCTATGAATGTCCATACCCCAGCTATGGAATGTATTTGAAATGTAAAAGTGTTTTTAAATCATCACTCGCAACTGAGCATCTTGCCAAGTTGCTTGTCCTGGAAACATCTGTAGCCCGGTTGATAAGGTGCTGGTGCAGATTATATTAGATATAATCTGTGGTTCAGGAGCATATAGATGTACAGATGTCTTGCCTTAAAAGGACACTTGTCCTCTGGGATCTCCTACCCAGCAGAACTAATAGTATTAAACAGCAGCAAATGTTCTTGGGAGGATATATTTGCTTCCTGGAGGTGAGTGGGATTTTGAGGTGGTAAAATAAGCCCTTGTGGCACTTGGCATCTTCTCAGACCCATGCAAACATAAACTCATGTATGGATCTGCAAAACCAGTCCTGCCTAGAAGGCAAGACGAATGGCTCAGTTTTCCATATGGAGAGACGCAAAGAGAAATGAAGCAACTTTCCTGCTTGATGTCAGCAGAGGCAGTGGAGTGAGTAGGACGGATGGAAGTTCCTCTTTGACGAACCCATTGGTTGAACTGTCCATTACAGCCTTACCCAAATCCACGCTGCATATTGAAATATTCTGAGAAGTTTCACTCTTCCTTTAATAGTGTATTCTTTTTACCTTCAGATAAGCTGTTTTCTGGTTCCTAGCTGCAAAGAAGCTGCTGACCTCCAGTTATATTTTTCCAGAGGAAAAGATTAACTTTTACACTGTTACACTGTGGTCAGGTTTGGGTTTTGAGTTAATGCTGGTACATGCATGTGCATCGGAAAAGCAGGGAAGACATATCTGAATTACAGAAACTTGAATTACTCCAAGTGCAATTCTTCAAAAGCCTCTGGACAGCTGTGCTTTGCAAGCCACAAACTCACCCAAACTTCGCTTCAGCCCAAACGGGAGAGAGACAAAATGCAAAGGATGTAGAGGTCAGAATAGGTTCCAGAATTAACCTCCAGCTCTTGGGTGAGTGCATTCAGAAATAGCTTGTATTGTATTAGTTGGAAAACATATATATGTATGCATATATAATATATACATATATATATATTTAAAAATGTGGTTAGCATCCCTGTCAGTGGTCTCTCAGTTTTATTTGCCCAGCAGCATAGGTGTGTGCCCTGGATACCTGCCATCGCACACACTAATCTGAGCATGCGAGAGGACCTGGAGAAAAGGGATGGTATTTTTACACCCTCTTCTAGATAAAGCCCATGAGTAGCTTAGCTGACCCCATTGGACCCAACACAGCCTTGTCTGGGAAAGGGAGGAGCGGAGCCACGAGTATCCTGCCCTTCCACACTCCCTGGACAAAGCCCTGGTGTCAATGGGGTTTGGGGCACTGTTATTTTCGGGAGTCAAAGCTGAGCAGGCAAAGGCAGAGGGATGTTTATTTCCTCTTAACAGGTCAGAAATGCATCTTCAGTGCGTGTCCAATTGAGCTTCTCATAAGGTGTGTACAAGCACAGGGGTATATATACGGGCAGTGTTGTAAAAAACTTAAGCAAGTGGTTGGTATCTGTTGTATATACATTTTTTTTGTGTGACTATGATGCCATTCGTATTGGAATAGATGAAGTTTGAACAAAATAACCATTCTGTCTACTCCTGTTCATTTTACTGCTCTTTACCATCAGTCATCTTGTGTGCACCCAATGGAGAAGGAAGAGAGACCTATACACGGTATGTGAAATCGTGCCTTCAACATACATTAGGACTGCTGGAAGTCGCAGCTTTATTTCAAGAGGTGCACAGATTCCCCATCTTATGCAGAATCCCACCAGTGAGACATGCAGGCCGTGTTTCTGAATACTTGAAGTACCATTTGTTATGCAATTATTTGGCTTCACCCTTTTATTAGCTGGGGGAAGAAGAATGGCGCATCCCTCCCTTTGGATGAGCCAAACCGATCCTTGTTCCAGCTCCTGCAGTATTTTACAGGAAAGTTTTAGGATCTGTTTTTATTTCAGATGTATGCCTACTAGAGTCACTTTTCTTAAGATCTTACTTTGATATGGGCTTTCCATTTAGTGCTTTCCTTTGGCTTCCTTTTATATTCCTCTTCATCATTCACTTAGAAGAAAAGCAACAGCTTCCTGTAATTGTGAATTTCTAGCCTGCCTCTTGGACACAGAGGTACCTAACTCCCATGCCTGAGAGGTGAACTGGTGTTCAGAATTCCCACATTATAAAGCACTGACTTTTGCAGATAGCAAACCTGGCATTATGTGTATTCGATGCACATATCTTTGCTCGTTCTCATCACCAGAATTAGGAGAACTGGACAGTAAATCAGAGCTCTAGGTGCAAAGTATGAGCACACTTTTGGTGTTAGAAAAAGTCCGTTTTCAACAAAAGCCTTGAAATTCCTGCTGAAGCTGCCTTATTTAAAAATCAGTTTATTTGTAAGACTCATCTCCTTTTATTTCAAGTTTTGAATAGTTTGTTTAACCTCATCTCACAAAGCTGTGAAGTAATACTGTAGACATGGTACTATTTATTCTTGTTGCTGAAAGCATGTTCATGTGTTCTGTATCATGTTATATTCACGTGGTTTGTACCTCAATGCGTTTGTGGGGTTTGTTTTTTCTTTCAGAGCACAAAGCAAAACTGAATCCCAGGATAACTGTAGTGGCCATGGCCCAGCATCTTTGGGCAGACAAACCTCAGCTCTAGGAGAGAGGTGAACCAGACTAGTCTATTGCAGTTTTTGGTTTGTACTATAAGGAGTATTTATGATTTATAGTATGTATTTATGGTTATTTTTTGGTTAAAATACTGAACTTTAAAAAGCTCTGAGTAGAAGAATCCAGTCAAACATATCTTTAATGTGAAGCGCACAAAAAACCCCGAGCTCTACAAATACCCCATCCTTCTTGGTATTTTCTATTTTGTCAGCTGATGGACTGGAGAAGGTTTGGGTTTCAAATGAATTGTTATAGTACTTTCTGGGGTGAGCTTTTGGGTACAGAGCCTAGGTTCAGTTTTGTCCTTTGTGCAAGTAACTGTGCATTAGAATAATCACAACGAAGCCTTTTACCTCCCATTTATGGTGTGGAAAGTGTTTCTCGGTGTACTGCACTGCATGTGATTGATAGCTGTCTCCATGGTTGACATTTGCACTTTAATAAACTCGGAGATGAAAAGAGGCAAAAGCAACAAATCCTTAAAACTCGCTTTTTGTACAGCCCCTTTTTGACTTGGCTGGTAGTTTCCCTCTGGAGATGATGCTCCCAGCACATTTGATCTGCGGGACCATGGACGTCCCCAGGGCTTGGGAGGGGCAAAGGGGCAGGAAAGGGAATTAAAATACATACATGAATAACATAAACAGGTTCCCCAACCCAAAATACACACCAGGAGCCGGACCCAAAGGTTTTCTACTGTATTAAGGTGCATCTAGCAGAGCTGATGGACCTGTGCTGACTCCAATCTCGACTCCTTATGCAGAAGCATGGAGAGAAGCATTTTATAAGGTACTGTGCAAAAATAGCCTCTCATTGCAGGAAAGGTGCTTGGGGGAGAATTTTTGGACTTAGTTCCTATATACTTGTGATGCAGTGGGATGTAAATACAGTTAAAGCACTGGATCTCTAGTGAGTGCTCCAGTTCCATCCCTATCCACACTCTCCTTTTATGCCATTTGTGTGAGACAGAATTGGCTTCTAAGAAATTTCAGTTCTCCCTCAGATTCAGCAAGTCACAACTGTTATCATGGTGATTTCCATTTTGAGAAGAAACAGAGAGGAAGAGCGTTTTAAATTCATACGAGAATCATTTTAAGTTCTGATGTGTTAAGGATGCACCAGCAAGGCTATAAAAGAAAAAAAGGAAGAGTTTAATTTCCTGACCGGTATCTTATAATCTTAGTATAGCCAGCCTGTGGTTTAATTGAGGAAATCTTAGTTGCTATATGTAAAGCAGTTTTGTATTGTCTTGAGTCATCCCATACCAAGCGCTTTCCTTCTGTGCATGCATTGGACTCTGTCCATGGAGGAAAAGAGTTTTACATGCACTGCAAAGCATCCTCACATTGAGTCAGCTGCCAGCACTAGTGCAGAGGTTTGTGTTTTGCATCTAGTTGGGTTGCAACCCCACAAAGACTGTGCGTAATTGCAGGGGGAGCGGGGCCCGGTCACGTATATCACAGGATGTATGGGGAGGTTTCTCTTTAATTAGTTTAATTTAGAAAAGAAAATCTTAAGTAATTTCCTTAGGAGACAAAAAAGAACTTGCACATGTGGCCAATACAAGATTTGCCTGTAGCTCTTGCAGAGCGTGTGATTAATAGACTTCAAGAGCTGTGGGATGGGGAGGAGGATGAGGAAGGAGTCAAGGAAGGGAGGTGTTTTCTTCACAGGATTAATCCTAAACATGCCATGGAAAAAAAGCATCCCCCCAGGTAAACTGTCTCCACAACTTCCATCCTCCCAGCAAAGGTGAAGGACACAGAGCACGTCCCAGCCTGCTCTGAAGCCAAACACACACTTCAGCTCCCCGAACTCTCCATCTCCTCTAGAGAAGTCTAAATATTTGGGCTGGCAAGGCTGCAAAGCTGCGCATGCTTACAGGGGCTTGCTTTATTTATTTTCTTATTGCAAGGATGGATGCAGGCCAATGCACTTAATAGTAACCACATGGTAAAATAAATAAGAATGCCTGTATAGACTTAAAAGTAAATGTTCAATATTTGCTCTGGGGTTTTTTTTTCCTGATGTCTTCTATGCCAGCTTTGAAATGGCCGTATGGCAAACAGCACTTTTATTTTGCTGTGTTTCCTTAAGCCTGGAACATTTAATAATTTCTAATTAAACCAGCTACAATTTTAGGATATTTATGAGCAAACTGAGAGGGGCTCTTACAATGTGCTGGGGAGGGGCAAAAGCTGTACACTAAGGTCATGTTTATGGGTTTTTTTTTCCTCCAAAGTCATGTAAAAACCCCTATCCACGTTCTTCTGCTTCAGAGAAGGTACCCACTGGATACACTGAGGAGAAGCCATTAGCAATTTATATTTCTCTTCCTACAGTTAGGAGCATTTTACTTTAAATAAGCAATCATCCTCCAGCCCCACAGCAGAGAAGAGCCCGAACACAGGGGCAACTGTTGGGTAACTGCCTGCTGCTGTGAGGCGGTGGGAGCCAGAAGTCAGCCTTTACATATCTGGGATGCCAAAGTTAGCTTACAAAAATAAAGTAAATTTGAACTGAATGCTTTATTTACTCTTTTTTCATGTTTTTTGGAGAGAAATGAGTCAAGTTTTCCTCCATTCTGTATATTTAACACAGCACGAGTGGTGTGGTGCATACTTCTTGTCCCAGTACTTTTGTCAAGACCAAAGCCAGTTCAAATTTATATGGTTTGTTTGTTAAAGAGCAAATCTTTGGGGAATTCTTGCAATTCTAACACCTAAACCAGAGAGTAACAAGATGGAGCAGGTAAACTGCAAATGTAGGTATGTTACAGCTGTTTCAGAGCGGACCAACAAGGTATTCCAAAAAGTGGGAACTACAGAACATAACTAATGTTGAAATAATCTGCGAAGACGTGCTCTAAATAACAGACAAAAAAGGAAAATCTCTTGTGCATTAAGCAGTGTAAAAGTGTAAAAAATAAAGCTTTATTTACACGTGCATCACCACTCCACAGGTGATCAATGTGGGGTCTCATGGACACAGGAAGCACAGAGAGACCTTCAGGGATGCTCCTGGGAGAGCAGCTCTCAGTTAGCAGTATCTGTCTCAAGAAAAAAGGCAGTTTCACAGCAGTGGGCACCTGGGCAATACAGGAGGTTCATTTGTACCAATTATGCATGAGCATGCAAGGAAATGATACTGCAGCAGGGAATTTAAGGGTGTGTTTTGGCAAGGCAATGCACACCAAGTGGCCCATGTTTGCAGCAGATGTGGATTAATATGGCATATCTGAAGGCAAGTCAAGAATCTCCAATTTAGAAAAGTCATGACTGGATGGGGTTTTTTTTAGCCGCAGTTGGACCCAGCAAACCAGCAGCCTAAAACTGGAAATACTTCTTTAATATTTAATACTGGCTGTTTACATTAACCTTCCCCTGCCTTCAGAAGTTTTAAGTACATTTCCCCAGCTCTCAGATATCTATACACAGGAAGGAGAAGAAAATATGCATCATAATAAATAAAATCTGAGTTTACCTGAAGTTCAAGTGCTCCACTAGAACATACCCGTCTGAGAAGGGGGGAAAGAGAAGTAAATTAGTAAACTCCTGAGCAAATAAAGTCACAGTGGCTAAGCACAAAGACTGTACTGTTGCTTGTGAAGCTTATTTGCCCCTCAAACCAGGACTGCAGTGACCACCCCTGCCAGAGGCTCACATCTTAAGAACTTACATCTGCCCTCCGAATTGCGGCAAATCACTGCATTGCCCTCCGCGACATCGATAACGTCCAGCTGTTCTCCAGCTGTGACCGGGAGATCAACTCTTCTCTGACTGGGGACCGAGCACTCAGCAGTGGCTGTGCTGATGACATTGATCTCCTTATCATACTGCAGAAAAGAAATACAACCACAAGTTACTATACACTCAGTCAATCTCCTTAAAGGCGGTGGGGAGGGATGGAGAAAAGACTTTCCAGGATGGGTTGTGAGGCTTTGGGGTTGAACGGGGAGAAAACCCCAGCAACATTCCTGAGGAAGATCCCAGATTAGAGGAGAAGGTGACCAGTCAGTGGGACATCTCTCCCAGCATAGCTAAGGACCAGCTTTCCACCATGCATCTTTTAAGTATGAGCTGTAGATGCTTTCCTCCTCTGACACTATTGGCTCTCTAAAAAGACACATACCATAAATGTTTCTCGAAAAGACTTCTCTTCTTTTCCCATCTTCTTGCTTTTTTCTGCACTGCTTTTCTTGACTTTGAAGATATTTCTGTATCAAGAGAAACACACACACACACACTACTCAGCTCCATCTAAATAACCACTGGCACACTGGGAAATGAAATCCAGAGCCCAACAACTCCAGCCATGTCTGCAATGAACTCTTGGAAGAGCAAAGCACACCATTCACATTGCTGTTTTTCAGGAGAGGATGAACACACCACTCTGATCTGTTGGCGAGCAGAACTTGAGCCATTTTGTATCTCCATTTGGAATAACTGTTTGCTCTATAAGCAGTGTGGGAACAAACAAACTATCAAGTGTTTCAAATCAAACGTATTTTTATGGAAGACAACAATTCACTTTTCCCCCAGCAGTTTGTCTCCTTCTGGTTTTATTTATATCCAAACATAAAGGGTCCCCCGATAACTCCCATCCTAAGTCATTTATGGAAGCAGGGTTTGATACAGCTCTCCAGATTTGTGTTGCGTTTTTAGCACATGGAGGAGAAAGTCACCCAAGCAGACATTTATATGGCATGGTAAAGTGAAAAACAAGCTCTTATAACCAGCTTAAAGGGAGCAATTGCCATTCATGCTAAGGCATTCCCTGGGCATGGACATGCCGCTCTTTCTGGTTTGTACATGAACTTCCAGCTATGACAGTCATTTTAAAACTAAGAGAAAAAAAGAACCCCGATCAACCAAACAAAACCCACCAAGTTACAACAAATCAGCCCCCTTTGGCTAGCCTTCACGCACTTAAAATGAAGAGGAGGGGAAACAAGAGCTGAAATTAGGAACTTTTAGGGTGTGAAGAGATTTCTCCTTGGTAAGCTCAGCCTGCAGGTCCTGCCACCTTTAAGGAGTGGATGAAAATGCATTGACTTCCTGATAGCCTGCAAAATCATACACATGACTGTGCACAACAGAAGTGGTGTTTGTACCCCATGGAGGAGCTCTGTGGTAAGAACCTGGACAACAGAGCTCTGATTTCCATTTGCTTGAAGTCCCAGGTATTGGGTCATGAAAAAGCTCATTGCAAATACCTATTTTTTCTGATTTAAAAGGGAAATGAAACCTCCTATTTCCATGCACATTTTTTTTCTCAGCACCGGTAAGAAAAGGTTGTATTTTTGCTTTTATGCACAAATGCTACAGCAACAGCCTATAAACAGCCATAAACCCAATCGGAAAAAGAAGACCCAAGAAATCACTACTTTAAAATAAGGGCAAGAGGAATACACAGGCAATTACTACGCTGTGTACAGGGCTTCTAAACACAGTGAGCTGCCAAAATAGGAATAGCTGATCATGGAGA